TCAAAGAGTTGAAAGGAAATCAACCACATTGACCAGAGTAAAGATCTGCTTGAGTGAACATTTTCAATACAGTAAAAATACAATGAGAAAGTCTTGAGAAATAATGAGTTCACAGTGCAATATAAGCATTCGGTTTCTTTCATTGAAACTTATCATCAAGAGCACCATTTTAGCACAAAGATCACAAAGAAGACTTACTTAGAAGACAGACCTGGAAAATCAAGAATACATGTTATACATTTTTTGATGTTTGTTTATGTTTTAAGAGAGAGAGAGAGAGAGACGGGGTGCAAGCAGGGGAGGGGCAGAGAGAGAGGGAAACAGAATCTGAAGCAGGCTCCAGGTTCTGAGCTGTCAGCACAGAGCCTGACGCGGGGCTCAAACTCATGGACTGTGAGATCATGACCTGAGCCAAAGTCGGACGCTCAACCAACTGAGCCACCCAAGCACCTCATTTTATACACTTTTACTTATTCATTCTAACATTTCCTGGAAGCCCTCTGAGTGGGAGGCGCTGCCGTTATCCCCTAGTGCACAGAACGCATCAAGATGTAGTCCCAGCAAGGGAGGAGCTCATGGTCCAGTGGTCGGGTAGAATTGCTCAAGTACTAACAGCTCTGGGCAGAAAGTGCTGCAAACCCTCACAGGACAGAGTAGGCCTGCAGGCCCTTGCAGGCATGGCTATTACCGTCTGTCTACTCGTGGGATAATATGGTGCTCATTTACATGCTGAAGCCTCCATTTGCCCACCTACAAGGGTGAACTCCCTTGGAAGACTGTGACCCAAAATATAAATGTCTGGAGTTACCTAAATACAAGAATCTCATTAGTATTATCCAATTTGAATATCATATAGTCATCCAATAAATATTTATTGAGCATCTATTAAGCTGTGCTTCTCAGACTGGAATAAATAACAGGGGGGAGCAGCAGTGTAGCAGAGAATACAGAGACTCAGCAATTCGATATTACACATCTTTCATGACACATAAGCATTTCATCACATTTTTATGTTTAAAAAAAACCTGTGGATATACTACAGAAAAGGATGCAAAATGCTTATGAACTTTTACGATAGAGCACTTGAGGCTCATAGTAGATTTCTTTGATGTGTGTCTTCCAGAATTTGTCAGAGGAGGGAGGGGGTTTGTTCATTCTCTTCTGCCATTAACTGAACACCATTTGTTAAATAAGCATCTTAGAAGATGCAAGATAACATCCCTGCAAGAGTATATAACCTGAGCTGAAACTAGATACTGAACAAATGAATCAAGTAGCTATTCACATGTGTGTCTTTGAGAAGTATACGAGGTCACTTCTGTGTCTATGAAATCACTCACTGTTAGACTCCGACGTGACGGAACTATGAAAAAAACAATTCAGGGCCCCACTAGAGAAACTTCAAGAAGAAAATGAAATGCAGCAGGTAGCTCAGTAAGGGAACAGATTGAAGTAGAGAAAAGAAAACGTCCTCCTTACATAACGCAAAATCTCCCATCGCTAAGCTGATCAATGGGCCTGGAAGTATGAAGGGGATTCCAAAAGGCAGGGACTGGGAGAAGCCCATTCCAGATAAACGGACTGACATCTAGAGAAGAGACAAAGTCAGGAAAAGCCAAGTTGTATATGGAATTCGGGGAGTGATCAGTTGATCCTAAACAGAATTTCACCAAGCACGCCTGCACAGTCTAACGAAGAAACCTAGGACCCAAAGACAAAGAATGTGAAATGTACCTGCCACTTAACACATGCTCAAATGAAGTTTGCTGACTTGCAGGAAAAGGACAAGGCAGCTGTGATAATGTACGCGACTGCCCCCTGGCAAGGTGAGACACCACAATCAACCTGAAATAGTTCCAGTTAGCTTCCCCCTCCTTTTCTCTTATCTCCTTGTCTCTTCTCTCCCATTCTAACACACAGAGAAAATATTTCACAACACTGTCCACCATTAGCTTCATCATAAGCAGCTATGTCCAGGAACGGTCCTGATGACTCATCCAAAAGTGGAATAGCTTGTGCTGGCAGATGAAGGGAAAAAGAGTTGGGATTGCCCAGTTTGGATGAATGTTACCCCAATGCAAATTTGTCATTTTCCCAACTTCTTCGTTGCTAGACTGTCCACTCACCTTGGGAAGGAACTCTGTCTTGATTTAACGTAGTTCCCTGTGTCGTGGCACATAGTGTGGAGGTTTGAAGGAATCAATAAATAGCACAATTTCCCCCCACCAAATACCTAAATCAACTGAGAAATACCAAGGAAACAAGCAAATGGAAATTGAAAAATTAGCAGCTTAATTACTGGTAATAGCTGAATGGGAACATGTGGCTCAGATATGCGACAACCCTAAATGTCTTAATAACAATGAAAGAAGTAAGCAGACTCCCCCACACAGCTACAAAACACCCTAGGAAACCACAGGTCTCCACCCATGAGGCAGATCCTTTATTGGGTGCCCAGTTACAGAACAGAGCACCTGCTTTCTGCAAGTTGATTCCAGAGAGAAGGGGAGGGGGAAGGACTGAGCATTGGATGCTAGGAACTCCTTCCCAAATCAATAGCACCTTGGAAAGACTTGAGCAAGGTTCATGAGAAGCCAGATGTGTTACCTATTAGGTGTCCTGAGGGAGCAAGAAGTCCCTCCCCAATCGGTGACATTATGAACCATGTGTGCACTGGATTGTCTATGAGATAAGGAACTTACTATGGTCAACTTGAAATAAGAGGCCCATTGAACAGAGGTGCTCAGTTCTTCTAGCTGATCCTCTGTCTGGTGATGGAAGCTGAAGTGCACCTGCTTGTCCTGGGAAAATAATCTGATTGGTTATGATATACATTGTCCAGGAGGCATTGGAGGAGGGCAAAGGGTGCATCAGAAGGAATCCCGGCACTGCTCCTCCCAGAGATCTCTAGAGTGCAAAGCAGGTTGCTGGAGAGAGATGAAATGAGTTTGCACTATGAGCCCAGGACCTTCTGGGAGAGAATAAATCAAGGAGCCAAAATTTCAGGCCTCAACACCTGCTTTCAGAAATCTAAAGACTTAGTATCCCAAATCTATAAAGAACTTATCAACTCAACACCCAAAACACCAAAAACCCAGTGAAGAAATGAGCAGAAGACATGAATAGACACTTTTCCAAAGAAGACATGCAGATGGCTAACGGACACATGAAAATATGCTTAACATGACTCATCATCAGGGAAATGCAAACCAAAACCACAATGAGATAGCACCTCGCACCTGTGAGAATGGCTTAAGTGAACACACAAGAAAGAACAGGTGTTTGCGAGGATGCAGAGAAAGGGGAACCCTCTTGCACTGTTGGTGGGAATGCAAACTGGTTCAGCCACTCTGGAGAACAGTATGGAGGTTCCTCAAAAAAAAATTGAAACTATAACTACCCTCTAATCCAATAATTGCACTATTAGGTATTTATCCAAAGGATACAAAAATACAGATTCGAAGGGTTGCACGCACCCCAGTGTTTATAGCAGCACTATCAACAATAGCCCAACTATGGAGAGAGCCCAAATGTCCATCGATGATGAATGGATAAAGAAGATGTGCACATATGTACAAAGAATATTACTCAGCCATCAAAAAGAACGAAATATTACCATTTGCAATGATGTGGATGGAGCTAGAATGTACTATGCTAAACGAAATAAGTCAATCAGAGGAAGACAAATACCATATGATTTCACTCATATGTGGAATTTAAGAAACAAAACATGATCATATGGGAAAGCGAGGGGAGAAGAGAGGGAAACAAACCGCATGAGATTCTTAATAGAGAAAAAACTCAGGGCTGATGGAGAGAGGTACGTGAGAGATGGGCTATATGGGTGTTGGGTTCTAAGGAGGCACTTGTGATGAGCACTGGCTGCTGTATGTAAGTGGTGAATCACTAAATTCTACTCCTGAAACCAATATTGCACTTTATGTTAACTAACTACAATTTAATTTAATTTTGTAAAAAAGAAATAAGATATCTAAAGACTTGCAAACTGGCTGGGCATGGTGGAAACAACATCAATCTTTCTAACAGACGCTAAGATTTGGGAATATGAAGCAGATTAAAGCAAAAAGACTTTTTAAAGTTCTTTTATTTAAGTTATTTTTAAAACAATTTTTAAATGTTTTATTATTTTATTTAATTATTTTTTATTTATTAATTTTTAAATGTTTTATTTATTTATTTATAGAGAGAGAGAGACAGCATAAGCAGGAGAGGGTCAGGGAGAGAAGGAGACACAGAATCCGAAGCAGGATTCAGGCTCTAAGCTGTCAGCACAGACCCCAACGCAGGGCTCGAACCCACAAACTGTGAGATCATGACCTGAGTCGAAGTGGGACACTTAACCGACTTACTCAGACGCACCCCTTGTTTAAGTTATTTTTAAAACAATGTTTTCCCCTAGAAGGTTTACTACTTTTCAACATTAAAAAAGAAAGACTAACGACACAATGATGCTTTGCTAGTACTATATACATATATACATAAAACATTCATTGGACAATATTAAATCACTGGTAATCACCATGGAACTAGGCTGTAAGTAATTGTGTACTATAACAGAAGATTTTATAATATATAATTTTGTGACTAAAGCAAATGTTTAGACCACTTATTATAACCAAAATGTTCGAGCCTACTAGCACACAAATAAGAAATGACCTCCCTAATTATAAATAATTACTGCAAGTTCATTTTTGAAAAATAGATTTGCTCTCTTCTTAGAAACAGCCCAATGAATGTAGATGTGTATATATACATCAAGTTTACAGTTTTTGACTAAAAAAGGATCTTTGAAATCATCTAGTTATTTAGTTTAGCAGATACCCCAGTACTCACACTTTATAGATGAGTAAAGTCACTTTACAGATGAATCAAGGTCAAGTTGCTTCAGAGAAAAACCAGACCAGTCTCTTGTTTTCTAGCTTAACCCTTAAAATATATATTTAAAAATATGTCCTAATTCTGAATTTTCTCCATTTTAGCATGCCTTTCCGTCTACCTGATCTAAATTAAAGCAGTTTTCTGCACAGACAGGAGCTGTAGAAGAGAATCAGGAAGTACACCGTGGCACTTCCTGGGAACAGAAGTAATTGGGGTAAGGTTTGGAGATTTCGAGCGAACCTAGTGACCCCTGCAAAGGGCCCCAGCAACGTGCTCCCATGAGCATACGTTTACATACAATTTGCAAAGATAAATTATTTTAACCACAGTTGGTGCAGACAGCCAGCTGTCCCTTTCCACTCCAACTTCCTATCTCTCACATTTTCCTGCTGCAAAGGGCATTAGAGCATCTGCAAGAAGTTTTGGGATCCTGCTAAGGAGAAATTGAGTGGGGACTATGTCGTGTTACCTGCAATTTGGAAAGCGTTTTGGAAACATTTCAGTAAAATGAGTAAGACACAATAGATATCATTAGACTTCTTATTAGAGAACTGGAAGAAAAAAACAGTCTAGCTTTATTGAAGTGTAATTGACTAATAAAACTATATAAATTTAAGGTGTACAGTGTGATGATTTGATATATATACATTGTGAAATGATTGCCCCCATAAATAAAGTTACTTAACACATCCCTTATCTCACATAGTTACCCTTTTGAAAGAAAATTCAGATTAAAAAATTAACATGGAGGGGGGCACTTGTGGGGATGAGCACTGGGTGTTATATGGAAACCAGCTTGACAATAAACTATTTGTAAAAAATAAATAAAATTTAAAAAAATAAAAATAATAAAATCTCAAAAAAAATTAATATGAAACAAAAGTGGTTACTACGAAGAATGAAATCCATAGAAATTAGTATGACATTGAGAAACAAATTTGTGATAAAAAAAATTTCCAGATCAGACCAAAAGCAGTAATTCATCAAGAGGAAATAATACATTTCAAATAGAGGTAATATATAGGTTTTTGGATTGTTTAATAATCCCACTAAGGAAGAGGACCAAAAATAAATGTAATTGGAAAAATATTTAAATTTCTTGCTAACTTGACATGAAATAGCATGATCTAAAATGATAACAGAAATCACAGTATACTCCTACAAGGGGGAGACAGAGCCAAAAGGTTAATAAGTGCAGCCCCTTCAAACAGCATTTTATTTTATCTTATCTTATTTTATTTCTTTTTTTTTTAATTTTTTTTAATGTTTTTTATTTATTTCTAGGAGAGAGAGAGACAGCGTGAGCAGGGGAGGGTCAGAGAGAGAGGGAGTCACAGACTGAAACAGGCTCCAGGCTCTGAGCTGGCAGTCAGCACAGAGCCTGACGCGGGGCTCGAACCCACGAACCGCGAGATCATGACCTAAGCGAAAGTCGGACGCTTAACCGGCTAAGCCACCCAGGCGCCCCTATCTTATTTTATTTCTTAATGTTTATTTATTTTTGAGAGAGAGAAAGAATGAGATGAGCTGGGGAGAGGCACAGAGAAGGGGAACAGGATCCAAGATGGGCTTTATGCTGACAGCAGAGAGCTGGACACTGGGCTCGAATTCACAAACTGTGAAATCATGACCTGAGCTGAAGTCAGATGCTTTATTGACTGAATCGCCCAGGAGCCCCCGACAGTATTTTAGATTAGACACTGCACTGGAACTCAGTGGACTAAGTATCCGAATTTGGCTCAGGTCATGAATTCACCACTCGTGAATTTGAGCCACATGTTGAGCTCTGTGCTGACGGCTCAGAGCCTGGAGCCTGCTTCAGATCCTGTGTTTCCCTCTCTCTCTCTCTGCCGCTTCGCCGCTCACTCTCTGTCTCTTTCTCCCTCAAAAATAAATAAACATTTAAAACATTTAGATTAGACACTGTACAAGAAAGCTAGAAAATATCTTGAAATCTTATAGCTGATATATGAATGATAGACTTTCCCAGATTTGACCACAGACCTCAATATATACATGACATTACAAGTGAATTGTGAAGCTGAGGAAAACTCTTCTCAACTCTCAATAGTAAACAAATTTTATTGAGCCATGATTGAAGAAAACCTGAATTTCTTTCTACTCTCACATAGAAAAGATTACAAAATCATTTTTCTACGAAGAGACAATTGTTTAAATGTTGAGGAAAAGTGTTAGAAGATGTATGAGACAGTTAATTAATAAAAAAATAGTTTTTTTCTGGATTGTATCATGTTTGTAGTAGTTGTCCGCTTTTTGAGATTTGTAACTTGTCATTTCTCATTTTAAGATACTCTCTTCCATATCTGATTTTATATTTGTAATTTTGAATTCTTTCATCTTAAAGAGGGTCACTCAAATTGAATAAGCTACAGGTCTCACAAAACCAGGACCTGGCCCTGGATTTCAATTTAAATGGCAATAGGGGCACCTGGGTGGCTCAGTTGGTTAAGTGTCATCGTTCAGCTCAGGTCATGATCTCACTGCTCATAGGTTCAAGCCCGCATCGGGTTCAGTGCTGACAGCTCAGAGCCTGGAGCCTACTTCAGATTCTGTGTCTCCCTCTCTCTCTGACCCTCCCCTGCTCATGCTCTGTCTCTCTCTCTCTCTCTCTCATCACTCTCTCTCTCTGTCTCTCAAAAATAAAATAAAAACATTAAAAATTTTTTATTAAAAAATTTTAATTTAAATAAATAAATAAATAAATAAATTTTATTTAAAAATTTTTATTAAAAAAATTTAATGGCAATGTATTTTCTTAGTAATAAGAAATGAGGGCCTCTTTTTGCAACCTTTGGGGAGCACTCAGAAGCCCATCCGGGTGGTCACAGGACTGACCGTAAGTTGTACTGAGCTTTGACCAGCAGGTGGCAGTGAGGGAGAGCAATTCCAGATAATAACCCCAGTCGCCATCAGAAAATAGCTGACAGATAACAGGTTATTTTTTGCATACTGCTGGGTACCAGATGTTTTTACTTTGGTGCTTCAGAGTATTTTAGAGGAAGAATGTTTTAAGGAAGATATGAAGCATAAATATAGCCTCCCTAACCAGTTAAAATATACCAAAACAGTAACATATTGAATAGCATGTAGAACCCCCCCCCATGTTATAATTATTTTGTTATACCATGATGAGCACCGTGCTTCAGAGCTTTACTCTGCTCCATCCAGTTTCTCCTAAAAGGTGTCTTCTTCCTTATTACCCTGCAGGAGAGGCCGTTGTCTTTCCACTTAGGAACAGCTTCTTCTAATCTGGAAAAGCAAATATGAATTTACAGGGTCCGTTCAGCACAAAGCCAAGAGAACTTCATGTTGATGAAAGTCTGCCAAAGCAACCATAGCAGCAGCATGGGCTGACGGCAGGTGGAAAGACTGTGGTGAGTTGAACCCCAGGGTTCTTTCCAGTACTGACACTCCAGATTCTTGGCATAACAGTGAACAGGAGCTGGTAAATACTTCCACGGGGCTGGCTCTGTGCCAGGCATTGTTCCATGTCATTCACAGTGTTTATTCAGTTTAAACAATGCTCCAACAATCCTACCAGGTGGTCCTGTTATTACTCTTGTTTTCAGATGAGGAAACTGGGCCACAGCGAGGTTAAATGGCTTACCTTATGCCACGCAGGAAGGGGTAGAGCTGGGCTCTGAGCCTAGGCAGGCTGCTTCATGAATTCAGGCACTTTGGCCACCTGCTGCTGCCTTTGCTATACATCCAATCCTATTTGTATCCCTTCCAAAGAGAATGTCATTGTAAAACAGTCAGCAGGACATCCCCCTAAAACAGTCATATTGCGATATTCCCGTCTCTTAACAGTGATAAAGAGGAGTCTACTGCTCAGTCCGATTCCCCACTCCCGGCTCAGAGAGGGGCATTGCCCAGGAGCGGGAGAGAGAGAACTCTGCTTGATTCACGTTCCTTCTGCAGGGACTGCCCACGCCGGCTGCCGGCTCTGCAACTCCACACGGCATCTCCCTGAGACCGCTCTCCACGCGGTGCTCCCTTCAGGTCGTCAGGAGCCTCTCCTCTCCTGGCTGTGGACCTCTGACAGAATGTGGCCACATTCCCTACTGCCTCATCACCCACGCGTCCCCCGGTGCCCGTCCTGGCTTTGCCCCGTCCACTCCTGGGAAGCTGACATCCCTGAGGCCACCACGAACCTTCAAGCAGCCCAAACCAGGGCCCGCCTGCTCCCTCGGCTTGTGTAACTCGGCTCCCTCCGGGCTTCCTTCCACAGCACACCCCCCCCCCCCTTAGCCCTGTGTGCTGATTCCTCTTCTGCCTCTTCTTCTCTTCGCTTTCCTCTCCACCCGCCTTCTGCCTGACCCTCTCTCTCATCCTTCTAACCCCAACTGCCCCCTACAGACTGGAGGGTTCTAACTCCTCCTGGGTCCCGTGGCTCTCCTTTGCTCGCGTCTCCTATTTCCCGCTGTCCTTTCTACATCTCTCTTTAAATGTGTCCACTGGAAGGGCCCAAACATTATCTTCTGCCCACCAGCTGCAACTCTTCTCGTTATATCTTGTTTCAACTAATGGCCTCATCTCTCACCCAGGCTGAAAATTCCAGCCCCATCTTGCATCCCTTCCTTTCCCTCGAATCCTGCCCCATCCCCACCCCCCACCCCCACCAGTCACCCTATCTCACCCATCTCCCTGAAATAGACACTCCTGGCAGATCACTTTCCTACTTGAAGATCTTTGGTGGCTTCTCACTGACGACCACGTATGTTCCTCAGTGTGTCATTTAGGGACTGCTGCAGGCTGCCCTAACCCTAACCCCCCTCTGGCTCCAGTGCCCACGCTGTTCCCTCCCTGGACACCCTCTACATCAGCCACACCCGAGCATTCTAGCCACATAGCTGCCAAACAATATATAACTGTGCTGCACAGACAGCCTGGGGTCAAGATCTAACTCCATCGCTTCTCGTTACATGCATGACTTTCGAACTATTATTTAATCTCTCTGTGCCTCAGTTTCTTTATCTGTGAAATGGCTGTAATGATCCTTTTCGAACAAGGATGTCCATTCACTGAACAAATATTTATAGAGTACTACATACCAAATGTTACATCCAGAATGCAATAAACATTAATTCCTTCTCTCTATACCCACTTCCTCTTCACCTTTGTTAATGCAGCACTTTCTACATAAGCAGGACCCCACCACCACCACCACCATCCTCCAAAGGCCATTCCGATAGTTATTTGTGACATTTACTGAGTGCTGAGCCTTGCCTTGAGGGCTGGGGGACTACATGAATTTCGTCGGTTTTCTAGTGGGTTCTTTCTTCCCATAGACTGGGAGCTCTTTCGAAAGTAGGAATGATGTCTTATGTATCTGCATCTGATGCATCTAAATATGTACATAAATACATTCAAGAGGAAAAAATTACAGTGTTCCCTAGTGTTACCAAGACTCTAGGACTCTTAGCATGATTCTCTGGAACTCAGTTATAAGCACACTCGTGTTGAAGTGTCTCCAACATTTTCAGACTGCCTTCCATATTGTGCCAAATAACTTCCTGCCTTGATACAATAAAAATCTTACTAATGTGACATATGAAGGACTACAGAAAATAGGCTTTGATTGAACTGTGTTTGAATTTTCTATTTTTTGAATTAGGAAACAGCTGTTGTTTAGGTAGGAAACAGGCCATTGTTAATGTGTATTATTTTCAACAAATAGCTTAGAATTAATGATATGTAACTATATTTGTTTCTGCTAGTATTGGGCACATTTCTGTTCCTTGGGTTTTTTTATTTTTGTTTTTTGTCTGTCTCCCCTACTAGAATGTAAATGTTCAAAAATGTCTCTGGTTCACTGCTGTATCCCCAGAATCTAAGGCAGTGCTTAATAATATTTGCTGACTAGATGATGAATAATGAATGCATATTCTATTTTAATTTTTAATAGAATATAAGTTATTAAAATGTAAAATATGTGCACCAACATAGTTAAGAAATTAGTTGAATTATAACCTGAGTGGTCCAATATTTGTAGACCTCTCCATTTGTACGACCTATTAACACCCGAAGATCTCATGTCTGAATGTCTAGTTGAGCTTCCCACCCTTATCCTAGAGCCAAACCTTTTCCACACTCTGGAGCCAGAGTCCACCGCCAATTCTTTCCTCCTTTGAATACACTCTCATTTCTTTCCTTACGTGAAAGTTTAGGCCACCTCTGTTGTGATCTGCTCAACTTCCTTCTTTTCTATTTCAAAGCTAACTCATCATCAACTTGACTGTGGTTTGCATTCCACGCCCTGCACTGTTTCACCTCTGTACACTTCCTTGTTTCCTAGAATTCTCTTTCCCACTCCACGTGCCTGAATCCTGCTCATTCTTCACTACTTACCTCAGAAACCGTTTTCTCCACGAAGCCTTCTGGGACCTTTCCAGCTAGAAGTAACCCTCCCCTCATCCGACTTTCTGTAGCACTTTATGTGCCTTTCCTTTAGAGCATCCTAACAAAACTAAGACCTACTTTGTGCAGAGCATTGCAGGTGTTGGGAAGGTTACAGAACATGGCTCCAGTCTTTGAGGAGTTTACTACCTAGGAGTGTAGTCCGATGAACAAGTATGAAGCATTGTCATCAAGAATATTTTAGATCGCTCTGTAGAATATAAGCTACCTAAAGCAGGTCTTTGGTTTTCTCATCTTTATATTCCACAGAGCACCTTGTATGCTCTTGTGCACTTAGCAAATGAATGTTTCTAGGTTATTTAAGAAAATCCTGGCTTTCTGCACAGAAAGGGCTTGCCTGTCCTTCATACAACATTGCCCAGACAGGAAGTTCTCCATCAGCATTCCCAGAATAAGGTAAGATTTCCTATGATCAGTCAGCAGACACAGATGAGAAAGCCATGTGCTAAAAAGAGAGAGAGAGAGAGAGAGAGAGACTGTTCCTTTTTGTTTTTTGTTTTGTTTTGTTTTTAAATAAGACTGGGAGGAATAAGGACTGGAGCAGAAAAGGGGAAAGAGGTGAAGATATGCTAAGAAGACCTGAAGGCCTTCTAGCAGCCAGATGGTTATTTTCCATAGGAAAGAAGAGGGAAAGAGGAAAGGAGGGGGTAGGGAGGGAGAGGGAGAGAGAGAGAGTCCCAAGCAGGCTCTGCTATCAGCACAAATCTCATGACCCTGAGATCATGACCTGAGAGGAAACCAAGAGTTGGGCCCTTAACCTCTTAACCGAATGAGCCACCCAGGTGCCCTGAAAGTTTTTTTTTTTCTTTTTAATAAGAAACATAAATGTTTTTTAAGAATGCTTTCTTAATGTATGCTATAGCATGAATGAATCTTGAAAACATTACACTAAGTGAAAAAGCCAGTCACAACAGGCCACATATTATGTGATTCTGTGTGTATGCAATATCCAGTATAGGCAAATCCAGAGAGACAGGAAGTAGATCAGCAGTTGGGGGGAAGGGGAGGAAGTGGGGAGTAACTGCTAATGGGTATGGGGTTTCTTCTTGGGTGATGAAAATGTTCTGGAATGAGTATTGTTGGTTGTGTTATTTTATGACTATACCGAGAACGATAACAACAATGAAAAACACCTCACTGGATTGTACATTTTAAGAGGGTGGATTTTATGGTATGTAAAGCACATCTCAATACAGCTATGCTTTTAAATAACTGTCCTTGACAATAAGAACTTTAATACCCGGGCAAAGAGGTGTGTCTCCAGATACCACCACGCCCCCTAAGGCCTTCGCAACCTGTCCCTTTATCAAACACCTAAACAGCAGGAATTATCTAGCCAATTGCAGTGCTAATACTTTAAGCTCAAATTAGGGAGACTTGCTTCTTTCCCCTTGAGAAATCATCCCTAAAGCCTGTAGAGAGTCATTCACATGTCTGTTTTTAACTGAGCCATTGATTGATCTGTAGGTGGTCTTTAAGAATGAGAAACTTTGTGGGGCGCTGGGCTGGCTCAGCGGGTTAAGCATGTGACTTCTGCTCAAGTCATGATCTCACCATTCGGTTTGTGAGTTTGAGCCCCTGCATAGGGCTCTGTGCTGACATCTCAGAGCCTGGAGCCTGCTTCCTATTCTGTGTCTCCCTCTCTCTCTGTCCCTCCCCCTCTGCCCCTCCCTCTCTGCCCCTCCCCTGCTCATACTTTCTCTCTCTCTCTCAAAAATAAACAAACATTTAAAAAAGAGAGACGGAGAGAGAGTTGGTATATGTGCACAGGCAGGCATGACCGCCAGCCACAGCTGTGCTAGGCTGCTCCCTGGGTCAGCAATTACCCCTGGAGAAAAAAGGCTAAAGACAATTCCTTCTAGCTACCTCCCCTCCCTACAAATTCTCGGTAAAAGGATCTTAACATTTGGCCCCCCACACACAAAAACACCTAGCCTGATAATTTGGGATTCCTCTGGCCCCACCGGTTTTCCCATGTTGCTCCCTGATGCCTAAAATCCCTTTAGCTGGAATAGCGCTCTTCATGAACAATAAAGATAAAAAGCTAACATGCTGTACGGGCTCAATTCTGCAGACTCGTCATAGCACAGGTCACAGATGAGCCACCGCCACTTGGACCGCACAGAAGGTGGCTCAGTGACCATTAACCATCACCTTCCTCTAACCTCTGGTCCTAGTCCAGTCCCAAACCCCACGTGCCATCATCAGGATGCTCGCTTATACACCTGTCCTGTTATTTAATTTTTTTCTTAAAACAACTCACGCTTCTTCTTTCAGTAACTGTATTTTAAGAGAAGATTATACATTACAGTTTTAAATGGACAGTTGAATATAAACATTAACATTTTTCATGTCCGTGTACCTAGGGGTTATGCAAGGACCATTTAAGAATGCAGAGCGGCAGGGGGGCCATGAACGAGAGCGGCAGAGCTCTGTCGATTCTTACCACCTGAGTGTCGGCGCTGTGCAGCCCACCTAAAATCACGCCGTGCACCGCCACTAGTGCACTTACAGTATTTTGGAAACTCCGTGGCTGCCCATGCACATTCATTTGCTAATTTAATCTGCCTAAAATACAGATCTGATGTTACTTTCCTGCTCAAAAATGTCCAATGCCCTCTGCCCCCTATTGCTCATAACGGCAAGTCCAAACGGCTTAGCTCTTTGATGCTGGCATTCAGTGCCTCTCCGATGTGACCACAGTCTACCTTTGATGTATTTATTTATTGAACACATAAATGTGTCCTTCCAGCTTTATCTTCCACTCCTGTCTTTAGTGGATAAAAAGTACTACTTTAATATAACTTA